CGTAGAACTTAGAAAAGGCAGAATCTCCTAAATTCGAGTAAACAGTACCATTTTGCTACTTAAATACATTTGAACATTTGTACTTTGTTAAAAAAAATTCTTTATTTCCTTTCTTTTATACATCATTATAGTAGGTACGTTAAATGTATAACATGCATTTTTACTAGAAAGAATTCTTTGTTTTCTCTCTTTTATATACTCGTATTATATTAGTACGTTAAATATATAACATACATTTTTATTAGAAAATTGGAAACAGAAGATTAATTAGCAGAAACTAATTAATATGGAAGCTGTTAGTCCTTATTTTGTCATACATTCCACATGCAAAAGAAAGTACGAAAATCATGGTAATCGAAAGTATCACCGTTCAGAGCATTTGTATTCACATAGGACGATAGAATAGTAACAAGCTCAACAAGGTCGATAGCACGATGACAAAAATTACCTGCTCGGTCGCGTAAATGCATTTGAGCCTTAACAAACGATATTATTAGCTGCATTGATTTGGTTTAATCAACTCCTATCGAGCAAATCGCCCGCAGGGTTTGTGTATTGGTGCAGCATCGGCGAATGCGATCACGCGATTCGATGGATCGGGGACAAACGTAAAAGGGTGAAAGGACACAGATGTGCAAACCAACCAACCAATTAACTAACCAACGAACGTCACGTGTTTGCTGAATAAAATAAACTGGCCGCGAAAACGCTGTTAATGATAAGTCGCGGCGCGTTTAGGAATGAAGGCGCAGTGTTAAAATCAGTGCGATCGTTAACTGGATAGTAACAGTGAATTGTTTAAAGCGAAGATCGAAAAACAGTATTACAGAATGTCCATCATATATTCTTTCGACTGCGAATTCTTATCATTGGATTATTGGCAGTGCAAAATGACAGATCGGTGTTGATCACATATTATTGAAAAAAAAAAAAATTATTGATAGATCGTTGTCAATTTTAATACTTTAATATTTCAGTAAATTGCTCATTAAAAATATAAAGCTTTTTTAATAAATTTATGAGATCGATTCTAGTTTCGTTATTGATTAAAATGTTTGCCGTCCACTTGATGGAGAATCGATCTGATGCTTAATTCACAGACTATTATCGTGACATGCGGATCGCAAACATATATCAAGCATAATGCCCTTTTACCGCGAACGATTTCAACGATTCTATGTCACGAAGCTTGTAATTATCGAAGCGACCGAGTGGTATATATCGATATGAGATTTGTGCGTTAAACTGGTATAATATGTGACTACGTGAAAATATTATAGAGTTATTATCAATCTGCGTTTCATCAATCTGCGAATTATTTTATGAATTTATGAATAGGCTACACAAGTATTGTCTTTACAAAAGTATTAAAGCCTCAGTGGGTGTCTTTTCAGATTTCAAACAGAAAAATTGTTTGCAATAAATAATAATAAATAATAATAAATTATAGAATAATAGTAAAATATCGTAAATAAAAAATCGTATTTTGTATATAAAGTGAGATAATTTAATTTATTTCTTACTTATATATTATGCTTGAGTTTTCTAATAGATTTATATATACTCTACATAATACTAAAAACTCAATAAAAATTATATTTAGCTTATATATTAATAATTATTACATCATTATGTTGGATTAAAATTAAGGGAATTGTTTACTAAAAAATATGAACTTTAATAGAGTGTAATTTGCAAGAGGTGTTAATACGTGACGTTTCAAAGCTTCTATAAGAAGATTGAATTTAATAATGTTCTGAATTTTAAATTTGCGACGATATACTTTCAAATACGCGAGGCAAGTAATCCTGCTAATAAAGTCATATTTATGATTTTATGATACATGATTGATTTATTTTTACAATCTTCCATAGATGTCAAACGTTATCCACTTTTGCTCGACAGAATCTTGATAGCGGCAGTATTTGAAAATCAGGTTACACGTAAGGTAGCATGCAACGAATATTTTAAGATACGACCGACCTTAAAATATACGTTGAAAAAGAGACAAATAGCTTCTGGATTAACTACATGTATCTGCTCTAGCCGTTTTTTGTCAGCCTGGAAAGAGTGTACGCATTCCATCGTGACACCTCATCTAACACTCAAAGCGTACATCTATATTTTATCATACTTGATTTTGACGTGGATGTACTTTTTGCTGTCTATAAAGTGTCACGAGATATTTCTGATCGCCTATGAATCATAATATCGATTATACGGATTCAGTCCCCCGTGACCATTTTGATCTCAATACTGGATTATATCATCGCTGAACAACTATATGTACGATAATAACTCTTAATCGTATGTAAGCTATTATTTTTACCACGAGACTTTCCACGATATATCACGAGACACTCTTGGCTATTTACGAAACAAAATAGACAATAAGTTTGTTTTTATTGCTGTTTTAATTGCACTAGAAGTTTTCTTCTTGCTTTCGCTAAATATATACCTATTTTATTTTAAGTACACGAAAGAAAGATTTTGCTGAAGCACCTAAAACTTTAGCTAGATACAGATTTAAAAATAATTTTGTCGGATTAAAACAATTGTGCAGAACGCTCAAATTGGTTGCTAGAATGTCAAAACTTTTTACAGTATGTATATTTTCAGATTTATATATCCAACTAAATTTTCAGATACTTCAGCAAAATCGTTCTTTCCGTGTGCAAACGCAAAATAAAAAGTGTATACTAGTTTAGTTACAAAAAAACAAAATGACAAAATAAGTTTAAAAGGTATTGTTAATCGAATTCAATTTACTGTATGTAACATTTTTGTTCAATTTATCTCAAGTTAGCGCAATAAAAATGTGCTGTTACTGTTAGTTTAACAATCTCTTTATTGTAATGACATTCAGGATGAATCTCATAATATCGTAATATTATGAGATAATCACTTGATCATTAGTCATACGGTTTACTGGCGTGATAATTCAACCAATCAACGGTTACATCTACGTGTTTAGATTTGTTTCAGTGATTAACATTGTATTGTCTATATTCAGAATATTCAGAATATCTCGTTATGAAGTATATTACGCCTCTATCTATGATTACTAACGGCGAATGATTGAAAAATCGAATCTCTTGCGGTCGGAAGAGATGTCCTCGTTATTAAGTTTCATTTCGCGGAACGAGATATTGGACGATAGCCGGGGAAAGAAATCAATGGTCACTCCTTTACCTTCGTCATGACTGACTCATCCATGTGTCCGTCTTACCTGGTCGAATCAATTTCCTGGCCGTATCGTGAAGGGTCGGGGCGATCGTTTTGTAAGACTTCCTTCGTTGTCTAAGACATCGCAGAAATTTATACTTTGCCATCCGGATCGTTTTACGATCAATTACCGAGAGCGAATTATTAGCCGCCAGTGGCCAATACTGGAATTAATTAACTTAGTAACGATAAATAGTAGCATTTATGAATAACTCAATTATGTCTAGCGCGAACTTACTCGTTTGCATATTTCTGCAGGCTAATAATATTAATAACGCGTAAATTAATGATGTGTAACGGATATTGTGCATTTGTGATGTACATTTATTTTTATCCGTTTATATTATACGATTAATTGATGCATGATGAAACGTGTTATGTTATCAGAATCGGGAACGTAAACAACCGCTTAAATTTATCTATGACTTGCCACAAACGAAACACCTCAATCTATTTCCTCTCTCTCTCTC